GCCAGAGGCATGTAGATTAGGCTACCAGACATAGTAAAATGAAATTTAAATGTTTGTTTAAATTTCATTTAAATTTACATGGCTGCCGCGCTGAGCCGACAAACAGCTGATCAGCTGTTTGTCAGCTCAGCGCGATAGTCTGGACGCGCGGGTGTCGACATCAAAGGTATTTGTCAACCACCCAGGTAAGCCTCCTGGGATGAGGTTTACCTGGGTGGTCGACAAATACCTTTGATGTCACCACCCGCGCGTCCAGACTATCACGCTGAGCCGACAAACAGCTGATCAGCTGTTTGTCGGCTCAGCGCGGCAGCCATGTAAATTTAAATGAAGCGGCGATTATTTACATCGCCGCTTCATTTTACTATGTCTGGTAGCCTAATCTACATGCCACTGGTGACAGAGGCATGTAGTCTAGACGTACCCTTAGAATAAATCTCTCACCTATGTCTCAGATATTGAAGCCTTCAAATACTTTGAAGGCCCCAAGATGCAAAGAATCCTCCAGCTGTGATCTGTGCCCCATGCTACAGAGGAAGGCGAAAAACTTCTGGAATGACTATGATATACTTTAGACATTATATCTACCCAACACCCACTTCTACCTTTATACAGAAATTAATAAAATATTGCTAATGCTAACTTAGATGCCCACTCAAGATGTGAATATTTTTACATGTGCAGAAACATGCTGCAGGTAAAGGTGTATCCAATGGCCGTGATTGCATTTTTTTTTCAAGCATTTAACAATTTTTGTATCGAACAATGTGAAATTACATGAGCTCTGATCATGTGCATAATGCATGAGTTTTTAGACAAACACGATACAAGCTTATTTTTCATGTCAAACAATTCTTTATTTTTTATGGTACAAATTAAAAGTGACAGATCTGAAGCTGTTAAGAAATACACAAAGTGCAGCTTTACTGACCATACAGATATTGCTCTAGATTAAGTACAGTTTTTGTCAGTTTTTTTAAAATGTTAAGCAACCTGTGCAGATAAATCAGCTTTGGTTTCAAAGTCAGAGCAGTAAGGAGCTTTTAAATATCCAGTTTGGCTTCTTGGTCACAAGTCCACCAAATCAACTCCTTTTAAAATTATTTTTTTAACAACATAATACAGTCCATTTCGTACTGCCATCTTTCCTGCTGCATGCGCCATGCATGGAAAAGCAGATCTCTTTGCAGTGCTTCATAAGTGACCCTGGTGACCATTCTGTAGATTATAGCACATAGGACAAAAAAAGAAATAGTAATATCACTTCTTTTAACAATAAATAAACTAATGTGCCCCACATAATCTCAAGTTGGAAACAAGCAAACCACATGACAAAAAGCTCATTACAAAATGTTATCCAAACAGATTTTACAGTCAAACATTGACATGGAAATCAATTTCCTCTCTTATTTTATTTCTTATTTGAATGTTGGTCATTAACTGGGTACAAGTAGAGTGCTGAGGTAAAACACTGATGAACAGTTTTATTTCTGTATTTCTTTTTTTTAAATAGTAACAGTTTAGTATTGCGAGATTGTCAGCAACATTTAGCCATATCTATACAATGTGCATATACCTACATACATTGAGCTTTGGTCCAGCATTGAGAAGACGAGCAAAGGCATTTTACATATTTCTTTTTGGTTATAGCTTGAGTTCTTTGATACGCCTCTACTTGTTCCTTCCTAGCTCCTTTTTGCTTTCTTGTTCTCTCTTTCTCTTTGTTTTCTTTTTTTTCAGTTATAACATAAAGAAACCAGAACCTTTTGAATGCAGTTGATTTTTTTAAACTGTTCAAAGTAGTTTTTAGTGAAAAACATAAAAAGACAAAAACAGAACAAAAATTTAACTTGTGATTCATTAGCCAAATAATATTTTTTGAAAAAAATTCTCTTTTAAACCAATGCAAAACTGATATACAATCATACATTGCTGGAGAGTCTCTTTTTTTCATTTGTGGGTAGCAGCCTTCCTTTTTGTCATACAGAAACTTAAAAGGTATTCAAATGTCATTGATATATGAAATTTGTGTACAAATGGAAATGTAGCTTGTAACAAAATAAAACAATATGTATGGCCCCAAAAAGTTTTATGACACACACATAATTTATCTTCCTAAGAATCTGTTCAGGCACCATATATGCCTTATAGCAAAAATCTGTTCATTAAAAAAATTAATACAAGAAGCATTACAACACTTTATAAATAATTTACAAAACATAATACAAAATTAGAAAGCTGTAAAAAAACCACTGCACATGAATGATTTTAAGACTGTGGGATGAGCTTCATTTTTTTAAATTCCAAGCTGGCAATTTATATTTATTTTACATTTTCACTGTCCTACTTATATCCTTCCAGTTCTTTGGAACAGACCAGAACTTATATAACCACTGCCAGCATGTTTTTAAACACTTAGAATCCGTTATATGATATTTGGTTAACTTTCCCTCTCAGGGAACATTTTTCTTTGAAGAATTTAGAGCAATTCCTGCGAGATATGAACTCTAGTTTTTAGACAGAGCAAGGATGACAATTTTGTGTTGATTTTGTGTGTGCGTGTGCGTGGAGTTTCAGAGGCGATGGAATGTGTGATCACGTTCCTGGTATTAATGATTGGATAAGCTGCAGCCCAATTAATAGCATACCGAAGAGACAGGCATCCGCTTCCAAACACTGTCTATTTTTCATAGTGTTCCTGCTGGTTGCTAGGTTGTCTCCTGATCACTGTATAAATTCAGTTGTAGCAACAAGTATACATACCACAACTTTATCTTAATTAGTTAACTAGCTATATAGGTGTGCTGGGGGAAGAGAAAAGAAGAAGAAAAAAAGAAGACGATGACCCAGAGGGGCAGATGTTACTATGAAGTTATTTCGCTCATCACTTCAGATACACAGCGTGAGTTGGGGATTTTTATTTTCTATTTCCCCTTACAAAAGTTACCTGCACATATTAGTAGGATTTTATTTTTCACAGATATTTACATTTCAACAGCAGGAAAAGTGACTATCATAATCATTTCCTCCTGCAGAAAAAAAAGAACAACAAAAAATATCCTTATACACCCTGCTGTAGTTTAAAGCCTAAAAAGTATTCACTAAAAGGAGCCTAGTTTGGGACATTGAATTCACACCACTCTTCACCTTTGAGCAGCTCAGATCTGGATGCAAGGCCAAATCTGAAAGGTGGTCTCTGGAGCCTTAAAATTCCATAGGCCCCGCAGAGATTTTTTTCATACTCCAGGGTGAATTCCATTAATAAAAATAAAGAGACTGAGATCCAAAGCCCACTGAAGTCGATGGGAGCATCTGTATTGCTTTCAATGGGTTTTGGATCAGACCCTGAGTTCTTGAAAAAAATAATGCTGCAGGTGTAATGTGAAGGTTCCAGAGTTTTGGGACCTGATTCAGTTCCTACCCAGACTCATAAAAATCCAAACCAACTCTGCTGAAATCAGTGAGTTAACTGGGATTTATAGCAGTATAATGGAGAGCAGCATTGTGCTCTACAGTTATACATTAGACTGAAACCAATTCCCGGATGTGAACCTTCAGGAAGCCCAGATCAGGACGTGGCCTCTATTTTTACAGTAGTCCAACCCACAACCCTGGTTTAGAATGCCAAGGAGGTTTGGATCTACATATGAGCTTTGCAGGTTTGATCCAATGAACTTAAAGTTTTAGAAGTTTAGTCCAAGTCCTTCAGGAAATGAAGCCATGGTGTGAGATAAGTTGCCTTTAATTTTTTTTTTCAAATGAAAAATGTCACAAGTGACTCCCTCCTTCCCTATTCCCAAAGGATATTCAATGCATTGTTCCCAAATCCTGATTGTTTAGGTTTTTTAGCCTGCCATGGCAGTGCACATCCACACATACTTGAAGAGTAGCAGTTGACAGGGCAACCGTCAGTGCTAGGAGAAAAAAAAAAGGCAAAAAGGATAAAAGTAGTAAAACAGTCCACAAAGGTGTAATGATCAAACTTTCCTCATTACTTGTTGGCCTGTCCATTTGTTTGTTTTCATCAGACTCTCACGAAACTTCTTTGGCTAGCAGACTTTGGAGAGAAATTGCTTCACACAGAACTGTAACATAGATGCAGTATGAAACCAAGTGTGCAGTTCCTATTACAAAATTATTTTGGTAACCTCTCCAGGTTCATGGCCAAAGGACAGAGAAATCAGGAGCCATGCTGTTGACAGTGAGCACAACGCTGAGCATGTGTGCTACACTGACAGTTCCTCAGACATAATTCTAATCCTTCTTTGTCCTCCTATTGCATTTCAACATAATCTATATTAAAGTGTTTAGGTTTCACTTTTCTTTAAAAATCTTTTAACATCATTGGGATAAACCGGGGAAGGCAGGAAAAGTGTTAGACAAATCAAAACAGAAATCAATACTTTACACTTTCAGGGGAAAAATACCGAACCCCACAATACACAATAAAAATGTCATTTTGGCACACAAACATTTGGAGATTGCAAACTGTGTAGATAATAAAAAGATGTGTGTGTGTGTGTGTATGTGTGTGTGTGTATGTGTGTTTGTGAGCACTACGGAATGGCTTTAACATCTGTTATATCCATCTGCAAGGAATGTGACAAAGGGTGGGAAATTAATCATTCTTTTTTCCTCTTTGTAAAGTACAAATGTAAAAACTCATAACACAATTTTACGCTTGTAAAAGAGTAGTAGTAACAATCTAGTTTGCAATGCCATGTTTCTGACTTTGGTTAATAGTTTTCATAGTGAATCAGCACTTGATACCTGAAAGGCTACAATCACTCCTCCAGGTGGCAGGCTTGTATTCTCTTTTAAACAGATAAAAGTTTTTTTTTCTTTTTTTTCTTTTTCCTTAAAACATATTCACATTTTCATAATACACAGAAAAAAGTAAGCAGTTATTTGGTTTGCTTTAAGTCCATTTAAAAAACTGGCTTTTTTTTTTGGATGGGTGGGGGTAGCTAATTCTACAACACACACACACTAAGTGCTGTGTATTTTATTTGTTTTTGTTTGGTGGTTTTTTGATTTTTTTGTTTTTTTTTTGTTTTTATATAGGAAAACCCACGGACATTTATAAATTGTTCTGTCCATCTTGTCGTTTTCTCAGTCTTTTACTTACAAGGGTGACGAATAGGCATTTTCACAGAGTCCAAATGGTTAATTTTTTATTTGTGTGTTTCCTTTTTTTTTTCCTTTTTCTTTTTCTTTTTAGGAGTTTTCTTCCAGAGAGTCTGTTAAAGGCTCCATAGGGACTGCTGTCGCAGGCTCATGCTGTTTTAAACGTTTAATTGTGTTCTTCAGTGCTTGCCTCTTATTGCAGAACCAAACTCTAACTACTTCCCGGTCATAGTTCAGTTTCTCTGCAATCTCTGTCATTTCCTGCCCAGAGGGATGAGTGTTCTTCTCAAAGTGGGCATTCAAGATCTCAAGAGCTTGTGGCGTGAATGAGGTACGCCTCTTGCGCTTTTTGGATGGTTCACTTCCGATAAACTCAGTCAGGTTCTGCATACCTGCTCGATGGCGGGCCTCAGCCTCAGCCATCCACCGCTCAAGCACCGGCTTTATCTTCTGGGCACTTTTAGGAGTGATGTCCAGCTTTTCAAACCTGGCAGGATACAAAAGGCCAGGGTTCAGTTTGGCTGTCAGACTGCTAGCTATAGTGTTCTCTTGGGCTTCCTGTGGTAGGAAAAAGTGGCTTCTCAGGATGGTGTGTCTGAGGGAAAATTGAGAAAGAAGAGTCTTACACTGATGCTCTGCCAGGGTGGGACTTCCTGCCTGCCTGACTAATTGACTGGCAGAGGTAATGTACAATGGATTATGAAAGCCATCATATATCTAGGTATATATAGCGAGATACTTAGAAGCAAACACAAAATGAGCACTGTAACACAATACCAAGAATTCAGTATGCTACACAAAACAGGCAATGAGTTCAGTTATCATAGTTCAATATTTTTCATGATTGTCAAACACCTGAAGGATAAACCCAATTACAGGAAATGATATCAAACTGATTCATACCCTCTCTTAATCATAATTAATTATCTTGTTTATTCTTCTATCCCATATTGTTCAAATGCCTCTGCTTTAGTAATACAAAGCAGTAGCGGCTGCTAGCCTCTGAATTTCAGGCTTCTTTTCTCTTTATTTTAAGCAATTTTCACTGTATGCAAGTTAACACTATGCCTCTTCTCTGGGTAGGAAAAAACCTCCCATAGCTACGGTAGTGTTCGGCTCAAGCAGCTGGACACATTGTAATTATCTTGAATGCCCCCACAACGTGCTAAAAGAGACTCATGCCTTTCAGATGAAACCCAGCATAATAGTGCACTAATATGCTCTGGCACCAAGCTGGGTTTATTGTGGGATATCTGCAAACTGTGCTGGAATGATATCATTTCCTGTAAATGAGATCTGCTATCTATCGTTTTGCCATCAAAAGTCCTTTGCTAGATTTCAGATCAGGTTTTACAAATATTGCCAGATATCTGGAGAAACACCACACAGAGCTTTCATTCTTTCTGAAACAACCACAAGAACTAAGATCACATTTTACGTCTTCATTGTCAGTCCTCATGACTTTGATTTATCATTTTGTCTACTTTACATTGAAAATTCTTAAGCAAATTCTGAAACATCATTCATTTGTATTTTCCCCATCCCCCATTTCCACCCTGGATATTAAAATATTTGATCCTGTCGAAAAGCAGCATTACTGGACTATCCAGTCCTCATGGTATGGAAGTGCCACTGCTCTTGGTAATGAGAAGATGCTTTAGAGAAGAGGTAGACTGAATCCATGCCTTTATGCCTCAGAACCCAGCGTCTGGAAGCAGCATTCTTAAGCTACTGGTACAGCATCAAATACAGAGAATTCTGGATGCCCCAAGTGGCAAGCTTAGAAAACATCCCCGGAGCAAATACAATATCTCACACACAAACAACTGAGGGAAATAACCAATGCTCCAGAAAATTTATAATTGCTGCTTATGTTCCTGTAGCAGTACTGACTGCCACGTTTCCTTCTCTTGCTGCCCAGTGATAGTTTAATTGTGTAATTTAGTTTTATAACACTGTCACAGGCTAGGAAAGTGACAATATTGATATGTATTTTAGTTTAGTTTAGTTTAGTTTAGTTTAGTTTAGTTTAGTTTAGTTTTGCATGAAAAAGTGGAATATTGTATTGCATGCCCTGCAAATGGCACCAAGGTGTTCCAATAAGGCCAGTGAGTTGGAAATGCAACTTGCTTATTTTTTCCCCATGAAGTTTGTCTACCGGCTGCTTTGTTATCATTAATGGAAAGACAGAACTTGGCATTTTTGAGGAAGGGGTAACTGCTCTCCAGGAAGTGGCCTGCCTTTGTGCTTAACAAGAAGTGCACAGTCATTACAGATTATTTCATCCCTATGGGGTGTCTCAAAAAGTGGAGAGGAAGAGGTAAAAATTTTAACTTGTAAGCATTTGGGTTCAGATTCTGAACCTGTTACTCAGATTCAGTAGTGATTTGCTCCTCAAATACTCCCACTGATTTCAATGGGGCTAATGAGGGGAGGGAGAAAATAATGTCCGGGATCCCCACTTCTCCCTTACTTATTTATCTACTTCTAACTAAATCATAGCTGTGTTATTTATTACAATCATTTACCAGGAAATCTTTTTTTCTTTTAATTCAAAGCATCCCAACCATGTTCCTGGGATCTGCATGTTAAATGCAGGGATATAGGATGGGGGAAGGGGGGAAACAAGAGGAAAATAAACCACACATAAGCGAAGCAAAGCTCAATATATAAACTTAAAGCGTGGTATATTTAAAAGTAATCGATAGCTACTACAAACTGGCAGCTGCTAAAAACACTTCCTGGTTTAGGTGTTCCTTTCCAATTGACTGGAAAGAAGAAATAAAATTAATATTTGGGAACAGGCAGCAATAGCATTCATATCATTGGTGTTGCTTGTTAGTGTTGATGCTTCAGTACACGTTGTTTGGTATAACAATATACAAGTCTTGAAACAAATTTCCCAGCAGTAGTATCCTTGTATAGACTGAATAAAGGTTATTTTCTACAGGGAGGTATCTTATAAGAAAAAACAGTAGGGGAGACCATAGAAGTGAGAGGATCCTATGGAGCTTTTTGTATTTAACAACAATCAATGGGTTTTATGGAAAATCATTGAGCAAAATGTGAGCTGCAAGCTCAGTACCCCATACTGATGTTATTTATAACCTTAGTCTTAAACTGCAGGAAAAGTACACTTCCGTTCTATGGGGAATACATTAAAAGTATAAAGAGCAGATAAAAAGACAGAGCATTTCATGGATCACCAAGAACAAAATCCACTTAAATGAGCTTAGAGTTGGTTTCTTGGCTTTCACTGATGGAGGAGGACTATACGGCATTGCCCAAGAGGAAAAAGCTGTTACCTAAGTGTGTTTGTTACCTCATGCATAAACATGGGATTAGTGTAACATACATACATGTATACATGGCATTTGCTTTTGCTTACTTAACTTTAACTCCATCAAGACTGCATCATATTTTTCCTTAATAAAGTAGATTCATTCTCAGTTTATGGACTTTTTTTTAATACTCAGATGATAAAAAGATTAGCGCTAGAAAGTTGGCAAGATACCATGTAGTTAATTTTTTCTCCCTTCTGTGTTGCCTAGGTAAATCATCATTAACATCCTGTATGTGAAGTGCAAACCACAATAATACAGGCTTTAACTTAGCAGGGATGCAGCCATGAAATATCTGTTCAGTAACCCTATCTGTAGAAAATGGCACAGTATGAAGAGGGTCAGCTGGTGTTTATACAGCATCAGCAGGGTCTCCAGCTCTACTCCTGAATTAAGTCTTAATGCCGGGAACATATTTATTGTTTCGTGCTTGTTGTTAAAAAAAAGGAAAAGACCAAAGCTGCTTTAAAGGCACTCCGTAAGTACAGTTTATCTGCCAGATACCAACATTATTAGCCAGTCAAAGTAAGCAATCTGTTCTAAGGACACATGGTTTAAATACTCACGTACGCCAGAATAACAAATAGTTACAAACAAAGAGGCGAATAGAGCTTATTATGTAACTTGTTACCTGCAGATAGCAGACTGGCTATAGGCTGGCCCTTCTGTGGCACTTAGAGCTTGGCCAACTTGAGTCTGTGTCAGACCAAGAGACAGGCGCCGGATTTTAAACGCTTTGGCGAATTCTCGGATTTCCTCCAAATTCACACCGTCCACCTCGCCAGTGGCTGTTTGAGGATCTGTTGAAATATTTTTTTAAAAAATTGTGTAAATTTGTCACACTACCTAAGAGTTCTTCCAGAGTACTGGAATTTCTTTGGAAGTACAAAGTGGGTTTTTTCCCTAACAGAGAGAGATTGGTGCTGTCAGGAATTACAAAACATTCTTAATTATTTTCTTTACTAAAATGCTAGCAAGTTTGTGGACCAAGGTATTTACAGTCCATTTCAAGGCAGTGGGGAAGGTTTTCAAAGGTACCAGATAGAAGTTAGGAGCCTACATTGTAGTCAATGGGATTTAGATGCTTCACTACCATTTGTGCCTTTGAAACTCTCCAGTTTCAAAAAATAACGCTCACCGTCTTCTCTGATTATTTTTGTTTCATGGAAGGGGCTGATTCTTTTTTCCCTTTGGGAATTAAAATGTGCACAACTAATGAAAGTGGGCTCAGTCTTCAATTTGAAACTAAGGCTGCTCTGCGTTAGCTGGAACAAATACAAACAAACAAACCAAAACACCTCCTCCCCGCCCAAACAACTCCGGCCCAAACATTTGTGTTTGAAACACCTTTATTTTATAATCAGTTCTTAAAACGTGTCTTTGTGGGAAATGCCCTTTCAGGGTTTTACAGTCCGCAAGCCATCAGGCTGCCAACCAAGCAGCAGAATATTTGCCACTTCAGCCATCGGGTTTTAGATGTTAGTGCTGCACAATATTCTAGTTTTACATTAGACCCTCAGAAGATAATGCTCATGAAGCTGTGAGAATAAATTTGTCTTTTTTCTCCATGGCAATTTACTGACACAGAAGCCTTTGTCCCTGAAAGGGCACATAATAAAGGACGTCTACCATAAGAAGGCTCCTTCGGTGCTGGATAACTCGGTCAATTTAGGACTTATCAAGGGAAATGACACAACAGCTGGAGAAGGAAACTTCCCTCCCCCCCTCAAGCTACTGATCCCCGGCTAAATGAAAGTATTCACCAAGCCGGAGACAGCATGGGACTGGGATGGTGGAAGATTTCAAAGTCTTGTTCAATCCTGCGTGTAGTGAAGCCATTCTCCCAGCGAGACATCTCTATTGTTCTTCACCTCATTCCTGAGACTTCTTAGGTGAAAAGTTTTCAGCACAATAACCCATCAATTTCTATAAATACAAGTAGTTGTCCGAGGTCTGTGCTAGACTACATTAGTGTGCTGAACTTCATATTATAGTGGCTCCTGCTAGTTCTGCTATAGTTAAAGACTTGTCAGCATTACAGTAATAAAGCTTTCATTTGCTAGGGGTTTATAACCTGATACAAACATTCTCTTAGGATTGAAATTGCCTCTAAAAAAGTCTTGTAGCCCAATAAGAGAAAAAGAGAGAGAGATTTTAGCATATAAATTTAGCCTACATCGATTAGAATGTTGAAAAATATAATAAAAACCTCTATGGTTTTTATCAGAAACAATGCCATTTCTCTCTCTATAGTTGCAAAACAGGTTGTATTTTAAATATGAAATTGCACAGGTTTATATCCCATACTGTGCGCTATTGTATATGTGTGTGTGTGTGTGTGTGTGTGTGTGTGTATGCGCATTGTGCAAGGTTTATATCCCATACTGTGCGCTATTGTATATGTGTGTGTGTGTATGCGCATTGGGCACTCAACCAACTCCTGTTGAAGTCAGTGGAGGGTTGAATTTGTTCTGAACATAAGATAAATTAGGACCTACATATATTTCATGAATGTATGTGCATATGCATACCCCCGCATTTGTGTGTATATGCAAATTGTATATTGTCAGTTAGTGTGTGTAAATATAACCAAGATCATTCAGGTTTATGAAGCACAATTGTTCATACAAAGTAACTGTTAGCTCATAAATAAAATATTTTTACTTACTCTACCCACATGATTTACACACCACATTGGCTATAAGGGGGCGAAGGGGATTTTCGAAGATACAGGTGGGAGTTGGGAGCCTAACAGTGCTTTTCAAAATCTTTTCAGAAATGTATATAACCCCACTGACACAATATCTTGTAAAGAGTCCCTCGAGTGAGACAAAGGATACAAGGCATTACATTGTTGGTCTCACCCATTTCTTTCCTCTAAGAATCTGAATCTATAATCTATAAATCTATAATGGCTCAGGCCCATCTATGCTATTGCCTGGTTAGATTAGCATCTTTCTTCCTAAATCTGCAATTTACCTCCTCTATTAATGCAAATTTCTCATTCAATAGTGCAAAGAAGGTTGTTGATTTTTAAATCCAGTTTACAACATGGAATAGCTAGTACAGTGCTAATGTGGAAAAAGGGAGATGCCTCCCTTATGGAACTGTCATGGTGAATAGTGTCAGTGTTTAGATTAAAGCTCTACCATGGCTGTATAGCTACCAGGTTCTGATGATGGAAGAAGGACCCATTTGGGATCCCTACAGGGACACACAGAACTGTTCCACTTGAGGAGACAGAGAGGATGCCACATGGAATTTCCTCTTTGGTGCTGAGGATATTAATAGGGGAAAAGGAGAAAGAATCTGGTGTGAAACCAGGGGATTCCAAAGCTCCTACAGATTCCTTCCTGTTCTTCTGCTTTGGAGAGCTCCTCCTTCTGCAGTGATGTCTCAGTGTTAGCTCTTCAGGGATTAAGTAAGACCTGGGTGCACTCTGCTTTCTCCTGCAGAGTGCAAATCTGTTCCAATCTGTGCAGTAATGGACAAGACACAGAGCCAAGCAAACTACAGAGTTTCAGGGAAACTAGAACTCTTGGTGTGAGGAACACCAGCAAGGGGGAAGCTGCGGAACATGATTTTATCACTCTGGGGGACAGAAGAGAGGGTAGCTGGCAAGGTGACAACAGAAAGTAAATACAATAGGGAGAGGCAGAACAAGACAGTGCTATTGGGAAACAGGCAGGTGCAAAGGAGAGAGGGAAAAGGAAGAGAGCAATAGCTTTGTTTATCTGTGAGAAATGCTCAGATACTATAGTATAGTATAGCGATGGGTGACAATATAAAAACTTTGATAGATAAAAGAGGGAATGGGATTCAGGGAAAGATAGGTCCCATAGTGTGAGGAAAAAGGAGGGATATGGTATCAATAGAGCTATGTGGTGAGAAAGATCAAGAAATGGAGGGAAAGTGGTTAGGGAACTGGAAGAGGAAGTAGGAGAAAAATATGGCCCTTAAACATGTTTTCTTTTGTGGTAAGTGAGAAAGAAAGAAAGAAAGAAAGAAAGAAAGAAAGAGAAAATAGGTGAAGTGAATTATCTCACAGAAGAGTACACACACAGAATAAGAGAAAAGGGATGATAAGTGCAGTGTACAGGAAAAGGGACAACATGGAAAATTTATTTCACTGGAAGCTATGTAGGGCCAGATTCTGTCATCCTTACGCATGGTGAGCAACACATTAGTCCAGTAGTTCCATGGATTTCAGTAGGGCTACCTGTGGAGCACGTTATTACTCAGTGTGACTAAGAATGGCAGAATCTTGATTAGATTACTATTTAGATGTCACTCCTAAGTAACTTGCCACTTTTACTTATAAATGGACATGAGTGCCTGGATAGTTGCAGTATTACCTGAATTTCTCTATTCTCACTAGTTATATCTGAAATAAATACTGCAAAACCCTATTGAGGTAAAATTATATATGGCTGAGCTGTAGCTCCAGGCTAGACAGAGCTTTTAGAAAATGGATATGTTACTGTCTCAGGAGCAGCACAGTGACCAAATTGTTATTTAAAGAACCACAATTCCTCCCTTGCACCTCACATGAGGTACTAATTTACTGCTTGCCGGTTGGCACAGCAAGGGACTGATCCCACTGAAGTCCATGTGAGCCTTTCAATTGACTTCAGTGGGTCCTAAATTATTAAGCTGGGTGTATTATCTCAGCTGTTCTGGCCAATGCATGGGTAGGGATGGAGTTTTTTCCTTGCCTACTCTCCATTCATTTGCCCAAAGAGGAGTGCAATTGGGCATACAATGCCTTCAACACCTTGGGTCCAGGGTCTAGGCAGCTGATGTGGGGAGTAAAGGGAAGTCTTACTGTCCTGTTACTCCCCCGTTCACACACAAATTAGTCAGTTCATACACTTAGTCAACACATAAATTAATCTTTAGTTATCTAAGTCCACCAGCAAGTTTTAAAGGTGTTACATATTTTGTATATTTTTTGCATTTTTTCCTAATGTTGTCCCTTTGAAGCTGTTGGAGGAAAACATATATCTTACTTTAAGCAATCCCAGAAACCAACAGGCAGCCAGTACATACCCTGGAGCACCGCTGTCATGTTCCTGGAACGAAACACTATTTAATAAGCAGGCTGACTGCTTGATAATGGCCACCACCACAGGCTTCAAAGGAAGGAGCATAAACCCCACAGTAGGCAGAAGTTGAGATGTCTGTCCTCTTTGGTGATACTTAAAACTCATGCCATTCACAAACTGTGATATCAAGAGAACTATCAAATGCTATTCTGAGGGTACATCTAGACTACAAGCCTCTTTCGAAAGAGGCTTTTTCAAAAGATACTTTCGAAAAAGAGCATCTAGACTACAAGCAGATTTTTTGAAAAAGCGGTTCGCTTTTTTGAAAGAGAGTCTAGATGCTCTCTTTTGAAAAAGCACAGTTTGCATTCAATAGCGCCTTTTAAAGAGTACTTTCGAAAAAAGGCGTTATTTCTCGTAAAATGAGGTTTACCACAATCAAAAAAACTGCCACATTCTTTTGAATTATTTTTGAATGAATACGGCTGCAGTCTAGATGCAGGTGAAGTTTTTTTTTTTAAAAAAAGGCAACTTTTTTCGAAAAAATCCTGTAGTCTAGACACACCCTAAGTGTTATCCTGATTTCAGATACAGACTAGCATAATAGGAACTACCTTTTGGTTTTCAGAATGAGGATAAACTACCACTTTGTTCACTACTCAAATAATCACTTAAGGGCGTCCACAGTTTTATGACAGTTTTCAGTGATGTTTTGGTCTTCTTATGGAATGTTTATGTCCTACTCCTTAAATAACAGCACTGAGCATTTCTTCTTGGCAAAGCTTACTCCAGTTGGCAGCATTCAATCAGTTATATGAATAAAGAGGGAAGGTAGCTAAGGAAGCTAAGCAAGGATGGAAACAAAAAAGAAAGGGGAAGTAGAGAGAGCCAGGGAGCAATACTTACTGCTGACTAACTGGCCAACACTCAAAGCTGAAGAGGAGGAGGATGAGGAGGAAGAAGAAGAAGGCTGACGCACTGGACTTTGAGACATAGACGCTTGACTGTGAGCCAAATGCAGAAGGTTTGATTGTGAGGCTCCTTGTCCCACTTGCGTCTGGGAGGGCTGATGGAGCTACATGTTAAAACGTAAAAATAAAAATTTAGAAAATGGACTAGTAGTCAGAAACGTTCAACGTACCACATGATCCTTCTACTCCCCAAACACAGTTGATGCTGAAGGAGCATATAAATACCATGTGCAAAGTTTAGATGATAAAGGGTTGACAGGGGAGCCTGAGCTGTGTCAAACCGTCACCCTTCCAGTTTTGTTTATTGAGATAATTTCTCTACACCTACTACTAAACACTTGACAGGTTCTTTATATATTTTCTTTATTGAAATGAGTATCAGTGAGGCTCCTGCTATGTCCAGCCGGACTCTGATTTTATATGTATAAGCCCACAAACTGATCCCCAAAGACAAGGCCTAACTCCCTATGCAAGTCAATGTGGTTTCATGAAGATGGAAGAGTCCTTTCATGGGACCATGGGTGCTAGCATGAAAAGAATAGTCCACCCTATGACAGTAGCCAAGGATACAAAATGATTTGTAATGCCTTTTTATTCCTCACTCCAAAAAAACCTGTTCTTTCTTGGCAGCATACTGTGAAACTTCTCATATATGGCTACTTGCATTTCATATACAATGATACATTATGGATCTGACTCTGATCTTCCACCAACTTTCCAATGGTATAGCCCTGTTAACTTTAGTGGAGATACTTCTGATTTACACCAGAGGAAGCAAGAGGAGAATCATGTCCTTTCTTCTCATAACAGAGGTAAATGCAGTCCCCAAAAGCTAAATACCATTGTCTGGGCTTGCCAGGAGGAGTTCAGGAGACCCTGGATGTGGTTTAATTAGACTGCAACTTCATACCTAAATGACTCGGGAGCACCCAGTAGATAAAAGTGTACAGCACAAGTCATTTGATAAACATTTACACATGCCAAAGAGGGGAGGGCTGCTGTATTGTATGCTCTCTCTTTACTCCTCCTTGTCCCACACCAGCTCATTGCTGGGACCTTATCCTCTCCTCAAAGGAAAGTTAAGGAGGGACTATAAAGGAGTAGCGGGATGATCCCTGCCATACTGGTCATGAGAGCCATGAGCCCCCTGTTTCCACTCCTTTAAAAATATCTTCTTTAGTGAGGCATTTTATCTGATCTCTGTATCCTTTCCCTATGGAATACCTGCACTGGTCATGCCCCCCCCCCTCCAAATCCCCCTTTTCTTTTGGTTACCTGGAAGCAGGGATGGGTGAGCATCCCCACACTGACCTGATATGGAGCTGCTGCTGCATATCATTCTCTAGCCCTTAAAAAGGCTCACACCTTTTCCAACAAAGCAGACAGCATCCTCACTGCTTAGTGTTCAGTGAGGTCATTCTGTCCCATTGATTTTACACATCACTTACATCAAATTCAAGAGGAGATCTTTACCTGGAATGAAGGTGGGCAATGGATCCTAGCACCTAAAATAGCTTTATTATATCCTAATGTTATAGATTTCTTATAACCTGGCACAGCCTTATTAGACTACAGGAAAATATCATAATATATTATCTTAAGATAACAAGTCCTTATTATCTCTTTATGGAATATCGATTCTTTTCGTAGCCCTAAAAAGATACAAAAATGAACAAAAAGGGTTCCCCAGTCATGCTAATTGTTAGGCATTTACAGCAGGGAAACAGCAGGTGTTGTTCAAGATGAATGAGTTATATTTGAATTTTTAAGATGAATAAAGAAACTTGTTTGATTTTACTGAACAAGTGTCTTTAAGTAAAAGGTCTATTTGGTATTGTTGGGAGCTCCAAAATTAGGACTACAGTTCATGCCCACACAAAAAAGCCTGATGATAAACAGAAACAAAAGGTGTCTGGAACAACTGATACAGGTTGAATCTCCTAAATCTGGGACTTTCTAGTCTGGCAAAATCTGTGGTCTGGCAGGATCACAGATGTTGCTGGACCAGAGAGCCCTGACACCCAGGAATGTGAGCCGGTCAGTAGTCCAGTGGCAGGGAGTCCCATCATCAGGACTGGCGAGCCCTATCCCTGGGAATCCTCATCCGGGCACAGTAGAAGTGTGGCAGCTGTGGAGCCCTGCCCCCAGGAAGCCCCAGCTGGCAGGGCAGAAGCGGGGCTGCGACAGCTGGGGATCTCCATCTTTGGAGAGCCCCAGCTGGCTGGCAGCAGCAGGCTGGAGCCAAACCTGAGCCCCGTAGCAGCAGGGCTGGAGCAGAGCCAGCTGGAGGGAGGGGCAGTGTCCTGGGATCTGGTGGCAGGTGACCTCCCCTGATCTGGCAAATTCCCTCATTCCGGATGAGTTAAGTCCTGAGGGTGCCAGACCACGGAGGTCCAACTTGTATTTGTTACATATATTTGATGTAATCTAAGGTATTTTACCATTTCCTTTGTACTTTTTTAAAAACTTTTACTGTACTTATTCCTATTACAGATCAATTTAAAAATTGGGGATGGGGAGAAATCAGGCCACTATATGCTGTTTTTTAATCATTAATTTTATTCACTTGTGTAAATCGGTCTACCAGTTCAAGTCTATTATGATTTTCACATGGACAAAACTCAGAATCATTTATCTTGATGTTTAGTCAAACAACTTCAAAGAACTTCAAGCCCTATTAGAGTTATACTGGCCAAAGACCTGAATAAAACACTTGCGGCTGTCAGAGATCTCGATACGTCAAATACCTGTAAAGGTTTTATTTTTTCAGTTGGAAAGGATTTTACCAAAGGGAAAAATGTCCCTGGAAAACCCCCAACTCAGCAGAACTATTGAGATAATAGTGGGCGGTAGAGAAGGAGCTCATGGAAAGGGAATGTCATAGTCTCTGAATGTGGCAGAGCTCTGCATTCCATCCCTTCTATATAAACTGCTACAGAGTGGTACGTCCAGGAGCAGGTCTGGCAATGGGCAGGTATGTGATCTCTGGATCTGTGATCACAGAGATCCCTTGACAAAGCACTGCAATAAAACAGATGCTTCTGAATTGTTGGCTCCTATTCCAACCCCTGCCAAAAGGCTGTAGAATTACCCCAGATCATACCCACTGTAGAAGGGAGATTCCATCCTCTCTCCCGCCCATATAGTTTTCTGCAAACCCCTTGTTTTACTGGTGCGATGGGTGGGCAGTAAATGTCATGCTTAAAGAACAATGATGGTGTTCTATGACATGAAATTGCATTAAAGTACTCTCTCTGTTTTCATCCACTATAATTTCCATTCCAGAAATAGGATTTAAAGAGAGGTGATGATTAGATTGCGAAAAAGGCAGTTTGTTTAACTTTGACTTTTCCAGATGACACAATCAATTCAAGCTAATGCAAGAGTTGACGTTTTTCCAATTTTGGACATGTATGTAAGCTATGAGCTATATTTATGACTATTCTACAGTTTCCATCCAAAGACAGAAGGAAGTATAGAAATTATAGCACTTGTTGCTGTATGTAGCACTCTGTGTATATGAATGCATTGGGTACACAGCTATGACTACTATATGCAACACTGATCAGATTCTGGCAGGGATACATATGTGTGCTACAGATACAGAAATAAGATAAGCAGGAAAAACATCATAATAGAGCATAATATTTTACAAGAATAATGATTGAATTTTCACAAAAGTACATAAATGGAAAGTGGAAATTTTTATCTCTCTTCCACCAATTTTCTACATCTATGAAGTAGTCCTCATTTATGCCAGCATAAGTGAGAACTGAATTTTGTCATTCAAATGTTTGTGTGTTATGTTTTACTACATCTGGGACTGTTGACTGTAATACACAATAAGGCCCACAAGTGAAATTGGTGATCTTCTGATCTGCACCAGAAAGTGCTAAGTCGGTTGTGGAATATAAATTGTAGGGCTGTGCTATGATTTTACATAGATTATGAGAGGAGAAGAGTGAGAAAAGAATATGGATAAAGATCTAGGGAAAATATGGGCCTACAGAAAAGAACAAAAGGAGAAGAACTTTGAGGGTGCGTCTTGACACCACACCCGTTATTTCGAAATAGCTTTTTGAAATAACGGGCGCGCTTTTCTGATGTTCCTGTAAACCTCATTCCATGAGGATTAATGGACATCTTGGAATAGCATTCTGTTTTGAAATACACTCAAAATAAGCTAGGCAATTTGCGTAGCTCAAAATGCGTAGTTTATTTCAAGCTATGGGTGCAGTATAGTTGCACCCTGAGAGAAGAGGAAACAGACATACAGTCAAGAAAAGAAAGGGATGAGAAAGGCAACAAGAATGAGAAAAAGCAGAGAATAAATGACACTAACAGGAATGACAGTATGGGTATGACAAATTTAAAAATAAGCCTTTTGGGAATAAAAAGAGAGGCTTGTAGTTTTTCTGATGTAAGTACTATTTTCTGAGAAATATAAGTAAAGCTGGTCAGAAATTTTTCCCCAATAGAAAATTTGACAAAAATGAAAAACTAATTAATTTTTGTCAAAGTTTTTCATGGACAAATTGAATTTTTGTCACAAAATCCAAAGATGGATCATCTTGATCCTGAAATGTCACCATGATGCCTCATGGGAATTGTAGTTTGGGTGACTAATGTTCCAATTCTCCTCCATAGGTGACATTCCCTGGTTCGACTACATATCCCATGATGTACTACAGCCTCTCTCCTCTTGGTGAGGGAAGATGGTACATCATGACAGTGTCATGAATATAGCACATCACGAGAGAAAAAGACTAGATGCAGAGTCCTGCTCATAGAGGTGACTGGGAGCATAAGATACCTAAAATACAATTTACATGAGACCACATGGCATCACTTCAGAATTGAAATATTTCAGTTTTCCAGGGAAATATTTTGGGTTTCAAGCATCCAGTATTTTGATGTAAAGTTTAATTTTTTGAGTGGCAAGCAGACACTTTTTGTGAAGAATTTCATTTAGTCAAAAACCCCATTTTTTCATGGAAAATACTTGTGATTGATTTTTGATCAGCCTTAATAAATGTCTATTACACATTTTCTACTCTTAAAGATCTGTTCTATTTTTATTTTCTTTGGGATCAGAACTAGAAAT